TAGTGCATGATACTTACTACAGGCAGTGCAACAGGTAAAGCAGCTGACTAATCAGGGGTTACAGGTCACAGATACATACCGATCATTGCACCTGTAATTATTTAATTTGTCCACTCATTCATCTTCATTCATGAAAATGCAGAATAGTGGTATCAATTAATATTGTTATTCTTTGTCATAATTCTTCGTTGATGAAATGAATACTGATTTATCAACTGCAAAAGGCACTAAGCCAGTGGTAGACTAAACAGCAATCATATCTAAAAATAAAATGCAATAAACTACAAACATCATCAATTATAGATTGTAAAAGTACCATGTAGCTGAATTAATGTTTTTAAAGACACGGTCTTTACAATAATAAAAACTTTTAAGCTACAAAATACAATTCATTGCAGGACTACTACACTGAATTTACAAAGACTTTGTTACAGGGATTGTCCTCAAGTTGGCTATAGCTTTTGACTTTTTCTTACAACATGTTCAGGTGACATGAAAAACTGTACCCACAAAGCCTTTCTCACACACCTTGAGCACACAGTTGCTGTTGACCAGGAGGTTGCCAGGTTTGATGTCTCGGTGTAGAATTCCAGCAGAATGAAGATATTTAAGTCCTGGTGGTGGTAATGGTTAATCATAAAAAGACAACAGGATAGAATTTTGCATCCAAAATCATGAATGAAAAGTTTCCAGTGTGAAACAACAACATCAGGTAAGATTTAGTTTGCTTCAGCAGACACTCCAATAAGAATGACAACAGTCTAAAAATACAAAGAGAAACACAAGAGTGACAGTACACTCCAAACCACAGAGATCCAGGTACAAGTTGAAAATGCAGAGAGCCGAACACAAAGACTTTCACCATAAGACCTTTCTCTCTGGTCTCTAACATGGAAATTTACAAGACACCAAGGCTGAGGACACCATTATTGGCCATTGCAGGCAGACCAGCATTAATGGAAAACCCTATATCTATAACATATTACTGATCTACAGCATGCCTGTGACTTTTTCTTTTATGTTTTGCTCCATCTATCTTGGTTTAGTCAGAGTAGCTATGGGCTGCTATAAAAGCATCTCTGCACATTTTATTTCAAATATTTAGGTCGGAGCATCTTATGTAACAAACTTGAGTAAATGTGACTAAATTGAGAAGGTCATCTTAAAGAAAAGAGAACCTACCTCTTAGAATCTGATAAAGAAAAACTTTGGCATGGTCTGAGCTCAGAGGCTGCGGTGATACGATGATCTTATGGAGGTCACTTTGCATCAGTTCAGTCACCACATAGCTGATAAATGGGAAATTAAGGTCAAAACACAAAAACACATCCATGAACACAAACGGTAAATCTCATTCATAATCATTGTAAGACAGTGCTGCTATGCTAAAACTGTACATTCGTTTTAAAGCAGCGTTAAGCCTGAGTATTAAGATTGCTCTGGTGTCTACAAAGCTGCCAAATGACATTCATACTTTTTACTTTTACAATTTGTGTTATGCTTCCGCACTGGAACTTGCTAAAAATATACAAAATGTAAACTGGCATGTTTGCATGAGCATGTTTTGATTATTGAAATGTACCAACACCTGCAGTCACAACATGTGGGCATGTACATAGTCCTGTTTTCTCTGTAGCCTTGAGGCCACATTAACTGTTGCTTATGCTTTATCCACATTTCTTCAACATAAAACAGAAACAAAGAACAACAAGATGTAGCCGCTGTGGTGGCACAAAAATTGCAGTTGCAATTGCATTCTTGCTCAGGGTCAGTGCATTAATGTCATTTTCAGATTGGATGGAAGCTTTTGTAGATGTGCAGCCTTGAAACAGCAGTCACATTGTGAGAATTCTGTCCTGAATTACTGAATGCAGTCTCTAAGCTCTAGTTCACTTATCTGTGGGCACAATTAACACTGAGATCTGAGACTGCTGTTCTGGGTTGATGACCAAATTTTTTCACCAACATTTTCTCTATTTCTTTTCAGAACACAGTCCACACTTAATCCACACAATGATTTAAAAAAAAAAAAAAGTTTTTCATGTAGCAACAAAATTATGTTGTATTTGCTGTAAATTTTTATTGCATTTTTAGTGTGACTGACTTCTTTCTGAACATGAGTGGCTGGGAAAAGTTCATCTATTATCTCCCCAGCCTATCTCCATGTCTGGCTTGAAAACAATTCAAACTTTACTTTTTTTCCTTTTGTATCTCTACAAAATGATAGTAACTATAACTTATCCTCCTCCTGTGTTATTTTTACAGCCATAGCTTCTGTTGATTGTGGCATCTGTAGCTGTATTCTGAGAAAGATTTATACCTTACTGTATTTAAATAAATATTTGGGGGATGTTTTTGTTATGTGACAATGGTCCAAGACCAAAAACAAAGGTATTCTGACCAAAGTGCTCCAGAATCTCTGAAGGCACCACTAACTTCTTAAAAATGTTCCTAAACTTTCCATTCTATTATGACTGACAGCTAATATTTGGAATTACAATATCCTAAATTATGACAAAACGATCTAATAATTACAGGGTGTGCAACAGACTAATGGCAGAGGAACTGAATTAGCCTGAGAATCATCAGGTTTTTAAGTAATAAACTAATTAGTAAAGCTGTAAGCACATTCAAAGGAACATAGCATAAACCTCATGGCCAATTTTTCATTTTCCAATATGTAAACAACTATAAACTGTGACTGTTAATATGTTGTCATGTATCCATGGCAATATGATACTTTGGGTATTTAAACGATCGTGACTGCAATTTCATTTGTCATTGGGACATAAAACTTAATGTTTGCTAGAAACCTTTATTTTAGTTGAACTGGAGAGCTTTTAATTGTGGTTAACTGGTTGATGGTGACATTTATCAGTCAGAGAGGCTGACTACATTCAGATTACACACTGTTGAGGACAATCTCAAAAAAATTGGGACTTTATTTAAAAAGGTAAATTTTCATACATTTTATATCGATTAAATTCAGTTGATCTATCATTAAAGTGAAACATTTCAAGCCTTTTTGTGATTATTATGGGATAGAAGTTAATGGAAATCAGATATCCAGTATCGTTTAAAAAATATTTTATTTCCTAAAATAAATCAAAAAATGATTTTTAACACAGAAATGTCAAACTTCTAAAAGGTTTGTTTGCTTATACACACTATACTTAATTGGAGCTTCTTCACCACAAAATACTGCATCAATGCAGCATAGCATGGAGGAGATCAAGTTGCGGCACTGCTGAGGTGTTATTGAAGACATTATGACCTTTTTTTATTTATTTTTTTTAATAATGTGTTACTGTGATTGCACAGCCTGGAGACTCCACTTCTGCATTTCACTGCACATACTGTGACAAATAAAAACTCTTAACTCTTGAATCTTGAATCTGTGATAACATGTTAATACGCTTATACATTCACCTGCACATGCGCAATTTAGCAAAAATCTCTGCACAACTGAAATCTGTCCATAGTGGGAAACTAGGCGGTTTCATTCCTTGTAATAGTGTCGTCCATTTAGTTTTTTTGGACTCCCTTAATTATTCATACAAAGGGTCCGAATGACCAGAGAACACTCAGTCAGCAGAATGTCTCAGCTGTGAAGGGAGAATCACCTGGCTAAGGCTGCCTAAAATTAGGTGGTGAATATTATATACTGTTCTATATATATACTGCCAAGATTATATAGCTTGTTGATTTATTTTGTAGCATGTACATTTGGCTATTAATACAGCCTAAAGTTTAGGACAAGCTGAGGACTGAAAGATTGGACATACCACCAGGATAAAGGGCTCATCAGTTTCATGAGTGTGATGGTGCAGACTTAAATCTTAAAAGTGGCAGATGTTCTATAGAATAAATCACTTTCCTCTTTCAAAATACAAATGACAGAGAACAGCAATAAAGCAGCAGTTCAGCAATATTACAAAAAGCAGCAGTTTGTCTTCATGCAGATGGCTATGGTTTGATGTCCAGGTGTGTTTCATCCTCAACATACACCATCTTCATATTATGGAAGTAAATAAAGACTAATGCATCAGCAAAACTAGATCTAATAAATCTAAGACATTGTTTTTAGAGTTGCTGCATTCATTACTTTTTTAAAAGATCATTTTCAACGATTGAAGCACTACAAATTAAATTCTGCTCACAAGTGTTCTACTGTCTACAGTGATGTATTGTTATGGTGCAGGCAGAAGTCACAGAAACAGATATTCCAAAACCTGAACAATCACACCAAAACTATCTGCATCAAAAGATACATACAGAAGGAATTCATAAGCAACAAAGCTTAAGATTGCGCAGTCGGTCAGTTATTGGTTATGTTTGTTTTTTGTTCATTTTATGTATGTTGTTATATCTCGTATCTAGTTTTATTGCCTTAGATATGTGTGCTTAATAAACTACAATGTGCTACTTTTTGGGAAGCTGTGTGTGTGTCTGCGAAGACAGAGTTGAGTTGGACCAGTCCCAAAAGCTCAAACCCTTAAGAGAGGATTTCATTAGCCAGAGGAGGTAAGCAGGATTTTACACAAATGACTTCAAGAAGGCAGAGTGCCTCCTTTTCAAGTGTACTGTATTAACATCATTAGAATATTTTTAATTAAATACGAAAAGAGGAGAACTAAGACGAACACCTGCTCCGATTGTGACCTGTAAAAAATCTCTGACACCTTTAAATAAAATACTTCATACATTGCAAACCCTGGAGCCCTGTATATGATCACAGGATTGTTGAGTCAACCAGTGGTAAAGGATACATTTCTTCAAAGTAGTCAATGTGTGGAGGTTGTAGTATGTCCAGAGCAGAGAGCACCTAAGAAGAAAGTTCAAGCAAAGGTCAGTTTTTCTTTTAAAATTCAATTTCTAACTAGTGTAATAGCAGACATCTGTACATAGATATACAATAATAAGCCACAACATTAATACTACTGACGGATGAAACATCTACAATAAGCACACAAGTAAACAGAATCATAGAGCAATGAAAGAAATCAAATCAAATCAAGTCTATTGTCATTTTGCTGTACATACACAGTAGTACAGGCAAGATGAGAGAGTGTTTCTTCAGGATCCAATAACTTAAAGCAATTTAAATAAAGAAGTGTTTGCATTTCTAGATCAGCAGTTCAGCATTCTGACAACTTGTGCATGAAGCTGTTGATCATTCTAGAGGTTCTTCCTTTAATGCTCTTGAAACATTTGCCTGATGGCAGCAGTTCAACCAGTTTATGGAGAGGGTGTGAAGAGTCTCTGACAATGTTCAGTGTCCTGCTCCTGCAGCGGCTCTGGAAAAGTTCTTGGACAGAGGTGAGGGAAACTCTGATGACCCTCTCAGCTCCTCTAACTATCCTCTGCAAGGCTTTTCTGTCTGACATACTGCAGCTGGAGTACATGTTGAGATGCAGTATGTTAGAACGCTCTCTACCAGACCTCTGTAAAAAGTCCTGAGGATGCTGGCAGGGAGAGAGGCTTGTTTCAGCTTCCTCAGGAAATGCAGTTTCTGCTGGGACTGTTTGATGATTGCTGTGGTGTTCTTATTCCAGCTCAGGACCTGCGAGATCTGCACTTTGAGGAACTTGATGTTCTCCACTCTCTCCACTGTGCAGCCACTGATGCTGAGGGGAGCATGCTCAGGACATGACCTTCGGAAGTCAATGATCACCTCCTTCATTTTGTCCACATTGAGCAGCAGTTGTTTTTACTGCACCAGCCCTCTAGGTGTTTCACTTCATCTCTGTACACTGATTCTTTGTTCTCATGAATAAGTCCCACCACTGTGTTATCATCAGCAAACTTGATGATCTGGATCCCCTCATGTGTGGCTGCACAGCCGTGTGTTAGTGTAAACAAAAGTGGACTGAGTACACAGCCTTGAGGAGATTCAGTGCTCAGCATGATGGAGTTAGAGATGTTCTTTCCGACTCGGACAGACTGGGTTCTTTCGGTCAGAAAGTCCAGGACCCAGAGACGTGGCGGTATCCAGGCCGAGTAGGAGGAGTTTCTCTATTATTCTCTGGGGGATGGTGGTATTTAACGCTGAGCTGAAATCAATGTACAGGATTCTAGCGTAGGTGTCTTTATTTTCCAGGTGGATGATGACTGAGTGAAGGTGGTGGATATTGCATCCTCTGTGGAGTGGTTGGGATGGCAAGCAAACTGAAGGGGGTCAAGCATTGCAGGAAGGCTGGCTATGATGTGTGGTTTGACAAGCCGTTCAAAACACTTAATCACAATCGTTGTCAGTGCGATGGGGCGATAGTTAATTAGACAGGCTACAACTGATGTCTTTGCCACTGGAACTATGGTGGATGTCCTGAAGCATCTGGGGACAATGGCCTAACTGAGGGAGATGTTGAAAATATCAGTCAGCACATCTGCCAGCTTGTCAGCGCAGACTCTGAGCACACGTCCCAGGATGTTGTCCGATCCTGATGCTTTTTGTGGGTTGACCCTGGCTAGGCTTCTCTGTTTCTCTGCTGCGTTGATGGTGAAAGCTGGCCTGACAGATGAAGAAGGACCAGCCCTCTCTCTGATTGTCGGGTTAGATGCTTCAAAGTGTGAAAAGAAGTTGTTGAGCCTGTTAAAGTGGCCGAGTCTGAGGAAACATTTTGTTTAAAATATTGTTGATAGCCAGGTATGCTTGCATCATTTCAAGGCCACAGGATGTGTTCTACTGGGAACCCTGGGTCCTGGCATTTTCTTGGTATTCCCTGATGTTAATGACCTCTTTAAGCAGGATAAAGCCACACTGCAAAAAATTTTCAGTAATGCTTTGAAAAACATGACAAAGAACTCAAGGTGTTGACTCGGCCTGTAAATTCCCCAGAACTCAGTTTAGTCTGGCACCTAAAAGATGTACTGAAAACCCGGGTCCATGAAGGTCCCACTTCGTAAATTAACTCAAAGAACCTGGATCTACTGCTGACACCTTTGTGAATGACACAACAGGACCCCTTCCATGGTCTGTGGCGTCAGACTAAGAGCTGTTTTGGCAGCACATGGTGGATCTAAGCAATGCTAGGCAGGTGGTTTTCATGTTGGGGCTGATGGGTGTTTGTGTTTCAGCTGTGTGAATCTATGTATTTTAACTTTCCAGATAGAGAATTAAACTTTAACCACTTGGGTGGAGTTTTTGTATTTCACTTACATTTTCATGTTTGAAGAAGCATAGCATCTTCAGCTCCCGAAATACCCTCTTGCAAGAAACAAGGTTTTGGAAGACATTGGGCATCTTTTTCAGAGCAACTCGCTTTCCATCTCTGGGGTCTGTCACTGACCTGGGTGAAGAGGACAAACATATTTTTAAAAGGTAGCACTTCCACATTGCTCATGTCATGATACAATTATGCAACAGTTGCTGAAGAATTCAGACATATATATATATATATGAAAAGATGAGAAGATAACTTCTACATTAACCCGCCCAATTTTTAAAACATTGTTTTCATTATCCACTTGACCACCATCCCCACTAGTGACTGTTGCATAAAACACATCACAAAAAGAGTGACAAGGTGACTGAGCAAGGAATCATAAGAGAATGCATACACTATTATCCTTCACAGTGTTTGTTGGTTGAGCACCTTCCTTAGTGATTAGTCGAAGAATCTTTAAGTTCACCAATCCAGGGATCAGAGATCCTCTGAAGAACACAGCAGGTGTAAGAGCATTTCAGCTCTACACACTGCATCCCTTTCCAGTCCGACCTTCAGTGAACCTCTACAAATAGGATCAGTAAAAGCAAACAGATGGCAGTGAACTAAGTTCCCTGGTTTTCAAAGACTGCACTCCAAACACCACCAGTAAACTTGCAGTCTCAATCCAGAGGAATCTAAAGGACCAAACAGCACAGTGCTTTGGAATGGTAATATACTAGTGCATCTAAAAAAATTAGAACATTGTCATAAAGTTTCTTAGTTTTGATCAGTTATCTGAGAAAGTGAAAATTTCATATATTCTAAATTCATTACACACAAATGGAAATATTTCAGCCTTTTGTTTAATTTTTTTAATGGTTATGTCTAATAGCTAATGAAAATCTGTATCTTAAAATATAACATTATTTAATCTTAAGTTATTTACTCAACCTTAAAATGAAAAACTATTCAAACTATTGTAGTTCTGCAAACTAAAGCACAATCATGGAATCATCTTCAGAATGCTGAAGATTGCAGACACAACCACAGTGTCATAGAAGGTTATAAACAGCTTCCTGCACACGCCAAAGGACCTTAGTCTTCTCACCAGGTGGAGACGACCTTGGCTGTTCTTATACAGGACATCTGTACTCTGTGACCAGTCTGGTTTATTGTTGAGATGAAACCCCAGGTACTTGTACTCTCCCACATTCTTGATGTCCAGTCCCAGGATGTTCACTGGTACTGTCTGAGGTGATTTCCTGCAGAAGTCTATCACCAGCTCCTTTGTGTTAAAACTGAGAATGTCCAGCTCCCACCAGGGGAAAAAGTTCAGGATGACCTCCCCGTACTCCTGTTCAATCTTCTCTGATACACATCAACTGGAAAAGTCAAAAAACATAACCCTTACAGCGCTCCCTGTCCTCTCCAGGTGTGAGAATGATGTACAGCAGGTAGATAACTGCATCATCCACCCTAACACCAGGCCGTTATGCAAACTGCAGAATGTCCACGTATAAGCTCACCAAGGTCTTCATGAGGTGGGAAGCTAAGGCAAAGTTGGTGACATTTAAATTTACAATGGTGGAATATGGGCATTTGCCAAGAAGTTCCATTATAGCAGCTGTTTATCTGACAATGTAGCAACTAAATTTAAGGAAATGATTTCATTATTATTTACTTCACTGCCATATACCAACACAATGGAAAGCAGCTACTCTAACCTTACTGCTACACAGGTGGATAATCTTTTCAATATGACTGCAGCCTCATGTCCCTTTGAAATTCACAATTCACAAAGGCCCATCTTAAAGCAGTTCTTAAAGACTGGAAAGGCAGTTCCACAAATTCAGAAGATTCTCACGTTTTCTGGAAAGGCAGGTTAATGACATAAAAAGAGCTCTATAGAACAAGAACTGCTCCTCTTCATTAGTCTTCTCTAATCAAAGAAAACTATTTTATTTCTAAAATTCTTGAAAAAGCTGTTGCAAGCCAGTTATGGGACCATCTGAACAGCAATAGTTTGTTTAAAAAGTTTAAGTCAAGATTTTGAATAAATCATAGCACAGAAACAGTACCGGTGAAAGTCGCCAATGATCTTCTAACAGCCTAAGACAGTAAACTGGTTTCTATACTTGTTCTGCTGGATATTAGTGCTGCATTTGATACAGCTGATCACAACATCTTACTACAGAGACTGGAACGGGTCATTGTGATTAAAGGAACCACACTGGACTGGCTTAAATCATATCCATCAGGTTGATTCCAGTTGTATCAGTGATGATTCCTCCATATCCATTAGCTAGTTATGGAGTTCCACAGGGTTCTGAGCTAAGACCAGCATTGTTCACCTTTTACATGCTTCCCTTAGGCAATATTATAAGCAACACTGCATAAATTTCCATTGTCATGACACCCAGCTAAATTTGTCTATGAAGCTGGATGAAACTAATCAATTAGCCAAACTCCAAGCAAGTCTTAAAGACATAAAGGCCTGGACGACCTATGATTTTGTTCTCCTAAAGTCAAACAAGGGTCATTCCCCTTCAATTCACCAAATACCCCACGCCTGATCATCTTCAATTTGACTGTTTTCATTTAAAAAGGTGAACATTAATTGAGTTGACCATGTGTAAAATGTCCTGTCATAGCAAATATACGTTTTTGAATTAAAAATTCTTAAGGAGGGGTGGGGTCTTGCCAATTTTGCTTTTTTTTTTTGCGGCAATTAGCAGAGCAAGATTTTTAAAGTGCCATAACTTGAAACATAATTCAGCTAAAGTAATTAAGTTTTGCAGGCTCATTGATATCTACATATGTCTTTAATGGACCAACCCTGCTTTGACAGAATATTACAAACCAGATCTATTGTCATGCCCTCTACCTCCACTTAGTTGGCAGTTCTCCTTCTTTTTTGCCCCCTTCCCTCATGTGGGTGTGAGTGGGGTGTGTGTGCCGAACATCCAGTGGATAATCAGCTGCATGAGGACACCTGTAGTGGGGAGTGGCTCACCTATCTCCAATCTGCAACTGCCATAAAAGAAGTGCTTGGGTCCCACTTGATGCCGGACTGTTATACCATACACAGTCAGTCAACTCAGGACAGCTTTAGCTGTTTGTCTTTGTTCCCTCTTTGTACGAATCTGCATTTTTTTTCTAGTTGTCTGTGTTTTTGCCTGGGAACATTCAGAAAAATCTATCCATATGAATAACAATGTGGGCATCAATATTACATAAAGAGACAGTGAACTGGGAAACCCATTTTTTCCAAAAATAATTGGGCATGAACTACTTAAACATGTATTTAATGCTGACATCAGTACACCAAATATTATTACTACAAACTTTCCCAACACTTTTTTTGACTAAGAGCAAAAATCCCCCTCCAAAAAAACACACACAAAAAACTTAACTCAAAAAATTACTTGTGACCAAAAATGTTATACGTTTTTACTCAACTTATATATGCACATAATGGTGAATGGTGAATTGAGGTGGAATGACCCCCCACTCACCTGTTTGTATGAGCTATTTTTGCAAGAGGTACTATAAGTGTTTACTACTGTCCTGGTCAGAGTTTCCTAATGTGCTAATGTTGGAATAACATGATTCCCTGCCCTCACACTGAACTGAACTGAACTGCAACAGTGTACCATATTGTACCATGGCATTGCCTTTTGTAGAACATCAAGGTTTGCCAATTCTCTCCTAGGTCTCGCTTTTTTTTTTTTTTCCCCAAATTGAGAATACAATGCTGTGCAGCATTCAATTTAAAGTAATACATTACTGTTACCTCGACCTGTCCAGGGCATCCCCTGCCTTTGCACTAAGTCAGCTGGGATAGGCTTCAGGCCCCCTGCGACCCCAGTGAGTACTAAGCGCTCTATATATAATGGATGGATGATGACTGTTATTTTTTTTGCAAATGAAGTAGTGAAATGAATACAATACTAGGGCTCAATAAGACATAAAAAAACAACAATAGGTTGCTTCATATAAATAAGATGGCTGTGTTGTGAAATGGTAATTATATATATATATATATATATATTAAAAGGACACAATTGGTGTCTGACTTCCTTCGTCACTTGTGCCTACCAAAAACACAATCTAATAAATCAAGTAATCTATGTATGTGCGTGCAAGTGTGTATAGCCCATTATTGTTTATCTGACAACATCTAAAAGTGTTGCTTCATGTCTGAAGAAGCACCCTGGTAAAGTAGGACCTGGGAACATTTTTTACATCACTTTTACACTGAACTTTAAGCAGTCACATTAACAGATAGGCACGGACAAGCAACGGTACTTCAAGCCGTGTCAAGTGATTTGGGGAAGACTTTTATTCCACATTTCAGCACCATTATTCCTCAAAAAAAAATCATAGAAAGAGAACAGACACAGTTTACTGCCAAAATTACAGCATAGCATGTGAAATACGCTCTACAATTTCACATCTATTGTAAACTGAAATGTCTAAAAAAAATTAAAATAAAATAAAATTTACTTAACAAAACAAACCATCCAGCCTCTGGCACATTAGAACAAGGCAGGTAAGGGAAGTTGGCAAGTTGGATCCGTAACTTCGGGACAAGGATTGGCTGATGTTCACGTTCATTGCTTCCAGCTGTTTGTAGGAGTCTTTCCTTAAGTTTATTAAATACCTGCTGCATCAGACAGCAGCAGGATCCATATGTCAGGATTAGTGGTGGCTGGCGAAAATTTTTGGTGGGGGGGGGGCACAGTCTGCAAATGACCTTTTTTTTTTTTTTTAAATCAGAAATTAGAATATGAGTAACATCAGGCACAACTATTTACAGGAATGCAAATTGTCTACCTTTGGAGGATATTCTCAACATAACCTAATTTAACATGATCAAGACTTACCACAACTAAATAGAATATTTACAGGATCTGTACAAACTTAAAACAAACATAAATAATGGGGAAAAAAATAAATAAATAAACACTATTCAGGGCTCCAGACTAACTTTTTCCACTGGTAGCACCAGTACGACCCATTTTCTCATTTTGTTGCACCTCCCACCTGGTCACAGGCAAAACTTCTTGCTGAACATTTTCTCATCGATAGGCGATATGATTTACTGATGCTCCCTAAACATCCCACATAGCAGGCTGTGG